GGATGGTTTGGCAAGACTATTAGAAGTTTAAAATAGCAAAGTTAACACTGAAAATTCACTTTATTATGTTTTGATTTCACAGAAAATGCGGACTTGTAAATAATAATAGTTCTTTATAACAATCTGCATGACACTTTTATTAGCTTGTGGAAGTGGGAGGTTTGGTTAAACAGGAATCCACGTGAATATCAGGAAAAGAAACTAGAGCTGGAACAACTATGATTTAGAAAAATAATTATTATGTTGGACTTTGCAAACCACCTGTCACCTTGCTGATCCACAGAAGAATGTAAAGAACAATCTCATGGATGAATGAAAATCTTCTCTGCCCAGGGAAGGAGAGGGTCAAAATAAGTATGCCTCAGCTGTCGGCTCACAGCCATGGGTTGCTTTTCGACTCAGCACAGACCTGCCAGAAGCATTTACCAGCTTTGGAAATGGCAAAGTCTGTTAAGAGTACCATTCCTGCTCTTAAACATAAGAAAACCCAGGTCAAAGTACAGTAAACAGACACAAAAGCATGGTTCTGGTCCATTGAACTCCTCTCTGAGGCTTTATTTTGAGAGTGGGCAAGAGGGAAGATGAATGCTATTCAGCTGAATGACACTGCCAGCCCGGCCAGCCTTCAGTAAGTGAGAAATAATAACAATATCCTGCCTGAAAACGTTGGCAGGCCCGGCACGTGCCCCGTCAGGCCGAGTGCTTCAGGACAGCTCTGCTTCAGGTTTTGCAGAGTCAACCTGAGATTCCTTGTTGATCTTGTTGTTGGGTGCACTTGAGTCGATTTCAACTCATAGTGACCCCATGTGATGGAGTAGAACTGCCTTATGGGGTTTTCTAGGCTGTAATCCTTACAGAAGCAGATCACGAGGTTTTTATCTCATGGAGTGGCTGGTGGTTCAAACCGCCAATTTTTAGGTTAGCAGCCAAATGCTTAACAGTTGCGCCACCATGTCTCCTTATGAGATTCCTTAATAAATGAATATGGCTCAGAAAGGCTATTGTGAAACTGGATTTTCTAAACTGAAAGCTACTTTTTGAAAAAGAAATGATACCTGATTTTTTTTTTATTCAAGATTTGTAATAATTTGAATAAAAGGGTGAATAATAAAATATGGTTTTGGCAGTTTCAAAACTCCTCTTGAAATGACTGTTGGCAGCCTTGAGCAGAGCTATACATCAAGCATGGCAGATATAAGCAGTGTCCTGGGGCCCTGAGCCCTGGGGGCCTCACGATGCTGAGGAAGTATGTGCTGGGCAAGGAAGGGGCAGTAACAGCAGGAGGAAGGGTGGGGATTACCATTAGGAGCTGAGAAAGCCATTCCCCACCATCTCCAAGAGTCGTCAGTACCTGGCAATAGCTATGCCTCTCTTCCCTCTCACCCGCCCTCCCGTCATCTGGCCCCAACCAGACTAAATTGCCATTTGATAGATCCTTCTTCTCAGATGTTCACTGCAATCTAGTAACACTTGTTTAAGGGAGAGCAGATAGTGGTCCTGGGGTGTCCCATGCCTCTTCCACTTCTTCCTTGAGCCTCTGTGGTTCAATAACATGCCCGGGCCCACATCCCTGAGGGGCCCAGAGTCAGAGCTGAGTGTGGTCATGGCACTGGGGGCTTCTGTGTCTGAGCTGAAGCCATGTGAGGGGATAAACTGGTCTCTTAGGTAGGGCATTGACTCTTTCAGACCACAGGGGATTGTCCAGGATGCTGTCACTGAAATGCACCTTGACAAGGATGTTCAGAGGATACAAACAGTCAGCATCACAAACCAATTTGGGGAGGCAAATCCACTGAAGAGACAGCTCACATGCCAAGTCTCAGAGTCACGTGCAGATTATAGCTTTACTGTAGAAAACTCCAGTGAACTGCCCAAGATCTCTTGTGTTAGAACTCTTTCAGATACTGCAGAAAATCATCATCTTGGGCCTAGGAGACTTCCATTTATAATAAGATTTTTATTGGGAGAGAATTTGTAAGGGGGTTTGACCTGAATGGATTTCCCCATCATTTTGTTGTGGGTAACTTGTGCCATTAAAAAAAAAACAAAACAAAACCCGTTGCCATAGAGTTGATTCCGACCCATAGCAACCCTATAGATCAGAGTAGAAATGCCCCATAGGGTTTCCAAGGAGCACCTGATAGATTCGAACAGCTGACCTTTTGGTTAAGCAGTCATAGCTCTTAACCACTTCGCCACCAGGGTTTCCATATAGCCCCTTAAATGCCTCAGATACCAGAATCATGGAATGTCATTTCAGCCAACAGCAAGTACTTCCATGGAAAACAATAGTGACCTTCTACCAAGCACTCAGGAGTCCCTGAGTGACACAAACAGTTAAGTGCTTGACTACTAGCCAAAAGATTGGCAGTTTGAACCCACTCAAAGTCGCTTCAGAAGAAAGGCCTGGTGATCTGCTCTGAAAGGTCACAGCCTTGAAAACCCCACAGAGAAGTCCTACTCTGTACCCATGGGTCGCCATGAGTTGGAATCTACTAGACGGCGACTACAAGCATCAATCAAGCCCTAAAGAGAATGAGCTGGAAATTATCTTCACCTGTATTTTTAACATTTATCAAATAATGGAGATTGTCTCCTTCAGAAGTAAAAGTAGATAAAAATATTTTACTCTCCTATTGTGCCCTTCAGGACCCATTGCCACTTGAGATGGTTCCCACAGTCATAGATGAGGACAATTCATGCAGTCTACATGGATATGGCTTGTCTCCTTGCTCCTTATCAGGAGGGAGGCACTTCATCATAAAAAGAAAGTCAGATCTAAACACCCCAGGAATAAAACAAAATGAACAAACAATGAACATCCCCACTGGATGCTAAAATTATTTTGTATCTGTTGGGTTAATCTGAGAGAAAGAAGTTTCGTTCAATAGATAACGTTCTTAATTTTCTCAAACACTTTTAGGGTGTGGTCCTATTTGTGTTGGAGCGTTGGCCTAAAGGCTGATAGTTTTACAGATCCCTGCACTTCTCTTGGCCTCAGTTTCCCCAGATACAAACTGAGGGAAGCTGAGATGTCCTCAAAGATCCTTTCCAGTTCTAAATATATCCACGGATTTATGAGGCTTCGGGATCCTCATGAAAGTTTCTCTCATTCTCCATGATGAAATTTATTTACACCAGTGTAACTAGGGAGTCATTGGGTAGTGCAAACGGTTAACATGCTCAGCTGCCAACCAACGGGTGGGAGGTTGGAGTCCATCCAGAGGTGCCTCGAAAGAAAGCCTTGGTGATCTACTTCCAAAACATGGGCCATTGAAAACCCTATGGAGCACAGCTCTATTCTGACATACATAGGGTCCATCATGAGTCTGAATCGACTCCATGGCAACTGGTTTTTCAATGTAACTAAGAAGTGAGCAGCTGCCCACTCGCCCAGACTTCCCACTCACCCACAGGGCCCACATGGAGCTGAGAGCCGCTACTGTCTTGCTCCATCATCCCCCCTCCCCTGACTCTATAGAATAAAAGAGAAAAGGGAACTTTGAAAGAATTAGTCAACAAATTTTGAGGTTTGGTAGTGAGATAAAGGGGATGAATTCTGTCATTTTTAAGAGGGCTAAATGGCACGGTGGTTAAGAGTTCAGGCTGCTCACCAAAAGGTCAGCAGTTCGAATCCATCATCCACTCCTTAGAAATTCTATGGGACAGTTCTCCACTGTCCTGTAGGGTTGCTATGAGTCGGAATCCACTCAATGGCAATGGGAGGAGGCAAATGTCAATCATGACAAAGTATTCCGGTAGATTGTTGTGATGGTTAAGATTGTGTGTCAACTTGGCTGGGCCATGATTTTCAGTGTTTATATGTGATCACTCCCATGAATGAATATACTGTGAGTAGCCAAACAGACGTTCTGGCTTTTTGCTCACTCTGGATCCTGCGGCTGCCTCCTGTGGTCTCACCTCTGGCTCTTGAGACTTGAGCTATCAGCTTATCTGCCCAACTTGGGATTTGTCAATCTTCACAGCCTGTGAGTGGAGCCCTGCTCTCTGACCTGCCCATCTTGGGTTTGCCAGCCCCCGCAGTTACGTGAATCAGGAGAAACCTTGCGGTCTTGCCTGCCGAAGTTGGAATTCATCGACCTTCACAGCCTGTGAGCGGGAACCTTGCTCTCCGACCTGACAATCTTGGGCTCGCCAGCTTCTGTGGCTGTGTGAATTGGGAGAGGCCTCTAACCTGATCCACGGACTTGGGACATTCTAGTCTCTACAATTGGCGTGAGCTGTTTCCTTGATATAAATCTGTCTCTATATGTATTTACACGCTTTACTGGTTTTACTTCTCTAGAGAACCCAGCCTAAGACAGTTGTTTACCATGAACTTCAGTTTAAGGGACCGACTGCAAATCAAGGGTACAGAAACTGAAAGCTAAAGTGTTAAAGAATGGGCAAGCATCAATAATTTGACACCAGATGCATATAATGAAACATACTGTTAACTGATGTAGCTATGTGATGAGAGCATATTTAGAACAAGAACTTAATTGCAGAAGGTGATGAGAAGTAGCTTCATACGTTTCACCTTTTAATATAAAAAATGAGGCAGGCGGCCTCCCCATTTTCCCTGGATGTCATCTTTTGGCTCACAGCAGAAGGCAACCACTATTTGCATAATGATGTTCCCATAATTACAGCTGAGTCCCTTAAATATAGTCTCCAAGCAAAGATTTGTTTGCAATATAATACACTGGGGTTACCAGCTTTCTAAGCAAAGCTATACGTCATTTGCTGTAGGCTACTGTATCACATCATCTTGTGAGCATCAAATGAACACAATTAAATGTGACAGGTCTTTAAATGTGCTTCAAGGGTGACGGGTACTAGTTAATGCTCATCAGCATATGTGGCCAACTTCTCTTAGGCATCTGCTTATGGTAAAGGCATGACTTAGCTCTGGAAACCTCTCTGTCAGCATTTTAGATCCCTGTTCTTGTCATCCCTAAGGTTTTCATTCTCAGAGCTGTTTCCGTTACAAAATTCCATGGGTCACATGCATAACACCAAACAGGAATTTTACTCCCCCCTTCTTTCCTTAGCTGAACAGACACATTGTCTGCTATTCCACTCACTAAGTTATCTTCCTCCATATTGACCCAATAGTTACAGAATAATGCCAGCTCATCAGTCCTCTTTTTAATTCATATCAGACCCAAGTGAGAAGTCTCATTCCCTACAAGTTCTTTTTACTGAGCGGACAATAATTCAAAGCAATCATTTTCCAAGAGTTTTGCTATTGCAAAGATTCAAAATGCTACTGTACCAAGAGACAAACATTCCCACCTTGTTATATCAGATTTTAATATAGCAATAAATGTCTTGAACAATATGCGCTTTAAACCTAAAGTTTATTGAAAGACATCCTTCTCCAGGCAATTACCCATTAACCCCGGGGGTGATGACTGTGAAATTCACTTGATCAGACCAAAAGCCTTGCTCGATTTTTTCAAGAATTAATGTTAATTCAGTGGGAGTTGATTCTGCTTTCTTTACTTCACTCCCCATAGAAAAGTATGAAATTTCCTAACTGTGAGAATTTGTTGGAAGACAGAGAAAGCTCCTTTGAGGCATACTTCTTCCCCCCTGGCCAACTGCTCTTGGAAGAGGAGAAGTCTAGGTGGGTGGAGACAGTAATCTGGGTCCACCATCCTTCCCCTCTAAAAGCCTGTCATGCTTTTCCCAAAGAGCTCACCAGGAAAAGGTGTGACCCCAGAATGGTGGAAGATGGATAGAATAGGGTATGCCTAATGTGCAGTATGTGGCCCCATGTCTTGGGCCCCCAGGAAGGGAGAAGGGGCTTCTGTTGAGACAAAGGCCACATGCCTTAGGAAATATCCCCCAGGAGAGAATCCAAAGGTCTTGCGTCCTTGCAGATCCAATGGCGTCCTAGCAGGAGGAAGGGTAGATGGTGACCTCTGCTGAGTCATGTGGGAGCCGCCCAGTCAGCGCTCTTGGGGGCCTTGCACGTGTGCACGTCCAGAGCCTCCAGGCAGTCCTGACAGCGCACGGCACAGCACCAGTGGAACTTACACTCACACTTGGTCAGGCGGGTGACGCGGGAGGTGTCGTAGCCTCTCCCGCAGCACATGACTTCGCAGCTGTCCATGCCTCGGGAGGTCAGGTTGCACACTCGGCCTGCTGTACCCGGGGAGCCTGGAAGACAAGCAAGCCAGGGAGGTGTCATTGAGAAGGTCTGGGCAGATACAACATGCCTGGGGAGGAGAAAGCCACGAGATCTACCCTCCAGACAGGGCCCTGGCCCCTCTCACCACAGCCCAGAGCTGTAAGCCCCATTCCCTGGAGCTACGCAGCATGTGCCACCCTCTGCCAGCCACAGTGAAATCAGTGGTGTTGAGAGGCCAAGTCCAGGAAGGATGGACATGAAGCTCTAGGTTCACCTTGTCAACATGAGTCCAGCTCTCTCGCTTCTGAGTTGGATAAACTCTTCAGGTTGTCCTTACCCAGCCTTGGATTCACAGATCCAAGATTGGACACCCTGAATGGGCAGGGCCAGATTAGAGTGAAAGAAGGAGCTGTTCCGGTTCCCTCTCTCCCTACCTCAAACCACGTTAGGGAGCAGTGGCAAAAGTGGCCTCTCTCTGAGTCTGTCAGGGTGTAGAACCCTTCAAAGGAGGGAATTCTATCTCCTCAGACCTACTTACACTGGCTTATTAGGGGGAGAGTAGAACTCTGGTTGCTGAAGGGGAGGAGTGGGCATCATTCCTGTGAGACCTTGAGGAGGGAGAAAAGCCCAGCCTGGTTTACCAGATAACTGTCTCTCTTCCCTGCTGCAGTCTAGTGGGCCATAGAGATGTGTGTGAGGCACCTGGTGGAAGCCAGGATGCTAGGCCTTCACTGAACAAAACCAGCATCAAAAGCATGTTTAGTTAGTAATTACCAATGGAACAACTTCTTGGTTAATCAGGATGATGTTTGCAAACAGCAATCCATATCTATGTGTTTGTTTCTGAAAAAAGAAATCTCAAAAGATAGGAAGCCTCTTATTTTGGTCTGTTCCTGGGGAAGCACCCAGAATTCTTTTATAAGAACATTATCAGAAAACAGAACCAAGTGCAGTGGACATTTATGAGGAGTCTGCTCAGCTTACAATGACTCCTTTTACTTCTCCCTCCTCTACAGAGATAGGCCCCTGTCAGCCATGTTGTCCAGCATTACCTTGCTCGACCAGGTACAGATGATTGGACCAGGGGTGGGTATGTCACTCAAGCTGGGCCAATCAGGTAGATTTCTCTGGAATTTGTGATTTTGACAGAGACTGACTCTCGATGATTTAAACCCCGTAGCCATTGGCAGCCATGCACCATGATGAGGTCTGCAGACTAGAAGAGGTCTGCAGAGAGGCAGGAATGAAGCAGATGTACAAAGACAGCAAAGATAAGACATGAAAAGAGAATGCTGCCCAGGTTCTGCACTGTTTTCTGGCTCTGCTTCCGTTTCTCCCTGAGGTCTGGCTGCATTCCAACCTTTGGGTTCCTAGAGATTCTCTACCCTTATAATAAATTCTCTCTTTTAGCTTAAATTGCTCCAGTTTCTATTACTTGCAATCAAAGATCCTAAATAACTGATAAACCTAGAGATGCTAAACTCTTCATTTAAAACAAAACTTCTCCAGGATAAAAAAGACAGTGACTTAATCCATTTTCAGTTCCTTCATCATTGAACTACAAGTTTCTGCCTCCTCGTAAGTGCTGCAGTGCGCCGTGGCTTTCCCCGAGCTGACCACACTCTGCACTGTGTTAGAACTCTATGTCGAAGTGTTGTGCTGCCCCTGCCTGACAAGTGACTAGGGAAGCAGCAAGGTTCAAGCAAGGTTCTGGGTCAAGAGGAGAGGGCGGGCCAAACTTGCTCTGCGTGATCAGGTCACTGACAGCAGGAAGGCAGGCAGGGGAATTTCACGAGGACAGGAAGGATGGCAAAGGACTGGGGTCAGGGTGGAGTGTGGGTTAGCCGGGGAAGGCCCTGAGACTAGCTTGCTGAAGAAGAAAAAGGTTAGAAGAGGCAGCAGCTGGGCCCGGATTCAGGGCAACCAGGACAGTCCTCAAAATTACTGACAGCACAGAAAGGACTCACTGCCACAAGCTGTTCTTAACAGCACTCTCACTATTTCATCCAGTAAACATTCATTGAGGAGCCCTGGTAGCACAATGGTTAGGCGTTCAGCTGCTAACTGAAAGGTCAGTGGTTCGAACCCACCCAGTGGCTCCACAGGAGAAAAGACCTGGCGATCTGTTCCCATAAAGATTACAGCCTAGGAAACGTTATGGGGCAGTTCTACTCTGTCACATGGGGCCCCTGTCAGTCAAAATCAACGCGAGAGCACATAACAACATTTACTGAACGAAAACACGTGTAAGACACTGTGCTGGCTGCTGGGAGTTTTGGGGGTCAAATAAAGGGATCTGGGGATCCAGTTCCTATTTTCAGGGAACTCATAGTGTAATAAAGAAATAAATGTGTAAACAGATACTTCTACTACTTCGGGATGATGGTTTCATTTGCTGAAGACCTACTGTAGCCTCCAATAGAGTTGGAAAGCACCATGCAAAGCACCATGATGGACAGAGCTCAAAGACCGTAAAGTGAGATTATTTAGAGCTTAGCTAAACCAGGGCTCAGATCCTAGCTATGCCAAGTATCAAGTGTGTGACCTTGGGCAAGTTATGTAATCTTGCTAAGCTTCGGTTTCCTCCTATGCAAAATTGGGATAAAAACAGTTCCTTCCTCATAGGGCTGTGGCGAGGAAGGAATGAGATAATGCACGAGAGTATCTGGCAGAATAAACCAAACCCTCTGCCAATTCTATTCCGACTCACAGCAACCCTACAGGACCGGGTAGAACTGCCCCACAGGGTTTCTCTCTCTCTCGTGGCGCAGCTGGTGGATTCAAACTGCTGACCTTTTGGTTAGCAGCCAAGCACTTTAACCACTGCCCCACCAGGGCTCCTCTCTGGCAGAGTAAGTGTTCAATAAAGATTAATCTTCATTCATCCACTTGACAAGTGTTTACTGAGCGCTAGGCACAGCCCTGGAAGTTTGGGATATATCAGTGAACAAAACAAAGATACTGCCCCCAGGAGCCTCTGTTCTAGAGGGAGCGAGCCGGGCATATTACAATTACAGTATTTTTCAGCATTGCTATTATTAGTAGCAAACAGGACTTGAAAAGGAGCCACTAACTTTGTACAGTTTCAAAGAGGAGGTGGCATTTGGAATAAAACAAAGGATGAGTAAAATATTTTCAGGGGAGGATGGGGTGGAAAGCACAGGATAGCAAGAGAACTTCGCAGCAGGAAGTCAGAGGTAAGTTAACAAAAGACTGTGCAGATTCGGTGTGGCCTAGGCACATAGTGTGTGTTAGGCAAAGAACATGGAAAAAGAGGTTAGAGTACCATTTTCAAAGTCTTTTATGCCCTGCTACAGTTTGGATTTTATTCCATGGCAGGTGATGAGCTACTCCAGACTTTTAATCAGAGAAGAATATGACCAGACCTATAAACACATGGGAATGATAAATCTGGAAGAATGACTTGGGGCAGTTAGGTAAGCCTCGAGCTGTTGGGATAGTCCAGGCAAGAGATGGTGACTGGAGACAGAGTGGGACAAATGTATGCTAGGTTAAAGAGGGAGAAGCACTAGGACTCCAAAAACCCACTGCCGTTAAGTCGATTTTGACTCATAGTGACCCTGTAGGACAGAGGAGAACTGCCCCACAAGGTTTCCAAGGAGTGCTGCTCGATTTGTACCGCTGAACTTTTGGTTAGCATCCCTAGCTCTTAACCACTGCGCCACCAGGGCTCCCACTAGGAGTCAGTGACTCATTAAATTAGGAGGTGGGTGGGAGGTGTCGAGTAGGAAAAGGCAGAAAAACGTTCATTTGGCTCAACGAGAAGGAGGCAATTGTTGACCTGGAGGAGAGCAGTTTCAGTGGGATGGCATGGACGGATGCAGTGGACTGGAGGATGATGGGAGAGGACATGTGGACAGTGAGTGTAGGCAATGTTTTCAAGGAGCTTGGCGATGAGGCAGACAAGAGAGCACAGCTGCACAGAGTCACGAGGCCAAAGATGGGACTTCAAGGTTGTTTCAGGCCATGAAGTTTATTGGTAGTTTGTTATGCAGCAGTGGATACCTGATACGGTTCTGTAGGTTTCCATTGACATAACGTATAAAACTGGGAGAAATCAGTGCATGCTATTAGAAGTCAGGGTAGTGATTTCTTCGGGGGATAGCGGAAAGGGTTATGAGGGAGGCTTCTGCAATACTGGTACTCTTCAGGCTCTTCACCTGGGTGCAGGTTACATGAGTGCATTTAGTTTGAGAAAATTCATTGAGCCGTATACATGTGATAAACAGAAAAAACCCGTTGCTGTCGAGTCGATTCCAACTCATAGCGACCCTATAAGACAGAGTAGAATTGCCCCATAGGGTTTCCAAGGAGCGGCTGGTGAATTCGAACTGCCGACCTTTCCATTAGCAGGTGAGCTCTAAACCACTGTGCCGCCAGGGCTCCAACACATGTGATATGTGCACTTAAATTTTCAATAACTAGCTAAGAAGAAGGAAGAGGAGGAGGTGGCTGACATGTGAAAGGCTAGGAAACAAGCAAAGCTCTCTAATATTTGAGGAGAAGAAAGGTGCTTGACATGGCTGGAATGTAGCCTTCAAAGGGGAGAATGGCAAGAGATGAGGCTGAAGAGGCGGGGAGAAACCTCACCGTGAAAAGCCTAGTGTAATAGGTCAAAGGGTTTAAAACTTAACCTAGGGCAATGGAATGCTATTGAGGGCTTTTACACAAAAGGATAACATGATTTGGTGTGTGTTTAAAGAATCGCTAAGGACTGAAGTGGGGCCAGAGTGAAGACAAGGAGACAAGCTGGAGACCATTATAGCACTCTGGCAAGACAAGATGGCGGCCTGGACTCAGACAGTGGTTGTAGAAATGGGGAGAGGAAACAGGCTTGAGAGAAGTTTGGGAGGCAGGATGGGCAGAGTACGGTGATTGGATGAATGGGTGAGAGGATGAGAAGAGTCAAGAAGGACTCCCAGGTTTCTGGCTTGAGCAACTGGGTTTATGTTGGTGACATTCTCTGAAGTGGAGAATACCTGAAGAGCGGCAGGCTTTGAGAAAAGAC